TTATATAATTGTCACCGTTTTTTTTACCCAACTTAAAATGAGTTGCAATAAAAATTAATCCAAAATAAATTTTGAAAAATTATTTTTTTTAATATAAATTATTTTTTGTTAATTGAACACTTTATAATATAAGACAGTTATTTTTTTCTGAAAATCATCTTCAATTTCATGAAGAAAGTATAGCTGCAAGGAAGCTATATTAGGTACTAAAAGACCGGCCTGGATTTTAGTACCTTGCAATGAAGATTTGTTTCAGTCTCAACTCTCGTAGTTTTCTTCTTTTTTTTCGGTCGCCAATTGCAAGTTAATCCCCCCCCCCTCCCACCCTCTATAATTATTTCCAGCTTTCGATAATCAAATACAACCGTTAGTTTCATGACTTCATAGATTTTATATTACCATCGAAACCTGTACTCAATTTATGGTAAATATTCCAGTCTTTGACATTTCTTTTTTTCAAGTATATATATAAATAAACAATAATTAAATAAACCTCTTATAGCAAGTACTATTTAAATTTTAATAAATGCAAAAAAAAACAAGTTGTAAATTCAGATGTTCATTTCATGAACATTTTGCTTCCTCTTTACGATCAGCAAAAAAATTTGCTTCCTCATTTAAAAAATCACAAAATTTTATAGCCAAAATGTGAATTTTTGATTTTTAACTTTCATTAATTCTTTAAATTTACCTCAAATATATACTTTATATATATCGATCGATTCGTCTTGACGTAAGGAATACGATTTTATTATATATAACCTTAAATTTTTCTATTTAAAAATTTTTTCGATTAAAAAAAAATTTTTTGAAAAAAGACGATAAATTTTTTTTTTTTGGGTATTTTTCAAAATCCTTTGGTCAGATTTGAGATATTAATATGATAAATGAGCCTACCAAATTTTATCTAAATCCATTAAAACCTGTTAAAGTTATCTTCTAAACAAAAAAGGGATCCACACACACACACACACATACATACATCCGGACAATTGATCAGGATCTCATATAACATGTTTCTATAAAGAAAAAAATTTGTTTCCACCACTTTGAAAAGTTTTATAAACGAAAGGACTACAAAGTTTCCTCCACGAGGAAGCAAAAATATATCCCCCTAGCGCAGATTGTAAAAAATTTATATTTTATGTGATATTCGAAAAAATATTTATTAATAAGAGGATTAAAATAATATTAATTTATTAAAATATCGAAAAATAATTATAAATGTTGATTAAAACTATACTGATATATTAAAAATTAAATTAAAAATAAAACTTCCGTTAGAATTAAGACAATATATTATTTATTTGGAAAAGTTTAAGTTACATACCTATATATGTATTTAATAAAATTGCCGAAGGAATAAATAATTTTTTATATAAATAGACATTTTTTTTATATTGTTGAAAATTTTATACGAATTTAGAAGGAATAATCGTATTCTCTGTGTGGAAAAAAAAATTTAGTCACGTCAACAGAACATTAGCAACGATCGAAGTAACAACAAAGCGCGTATCGAAAAAAAAAATGAGAAGGGCTAATCGACTCCCCAGTGTGGAATAAAAACGAAATATATATATATAGATTCTTAAAAGCGTGTTACCATTTTTTATGCACACGGCTGCAAAATATGGTCTACTAACATTTTCCGATAACGCACATCCCCCGCGCCCTTTGACACGCGATTCCATCTTAGATCTCCTTTTGGCATTCGGAGTGTGTACACTTCAAGGGGGGGAGCTATACACTGTCACATATATAGCCTAGTGTCTAAAAAGTATAAAAATAGAAATATCACATTTCACTCCCTTTTCTCCTGAATATTTTTTTTTTTTTTTTTTTTTTGAGCAATTGGGCCCAGGTCATATAATACAAGGGGTGCGGCCCATGAAACTTCATTTTCGAGGGTTGACGCCCCTGAACACGCAACTTTTTGTTTTTTATGACACAAATGCAAATTCTGGGCAATAAATTCAATTTTTTTTACGATTTTTCTTTATTAAAAAAGAATTTTTTGAAATATCACATCTTTCAAGAAATTTTTATTCTTTAAAAAAAAATTAACCTTAGAAAGATTAGGATAAACCATTTTTGATTACTAATCAATTTGATTTACTAATCAATTTACATGTTGTCAAATACTCGAGTGCGTATAATACCGTTGCAGAATTTTCGGAAGGTAAATGAATTTAAGGGTCGGATTATTAGCCATAAAATGGCGAATTTAGGGGAAAGTAGGATAGACTAGTTTTATGGCTAATAAAACTCTCGTAAAAAGCTACTCTCACTTTCTTTTTTGCTTTCGTAAATAAGAGCGTGACAATGCGATTTTTCTTTTATATATAAATAAGCATTTTTATTCACTCGAAAGTTTAGTCAAAAAAAAACAAAAAAACCAAAATTCACCAACAAAAATGACTTTGCTCTCGTTGTTAGATAAACGAAATTGATTACGTCGTTAAATAAACTTTATGTGTTGCAAACTTTTGTACCATAGAATTCTTTATAACAATGTGAAAAAAACATCCCTTGGCCTGTAAATTCTGCAATTTCAGTAAATTTTTACTATATCTTTAAAAAACAAAAAATATTACCAGAGAAGAATTTATACTATACCTATAGTAAACGAGAGGACTATTTATTAAATGACCATTGCATTAGTTCAAACATAGACTGAATTTAAAATAATTATAGGCAACATCATGAAAAATTGGAAACTATTTTCTAAATTTAAATTTGTTAGAATTCGTTTACTAATTCAAATTAGTAGAAATTTTCACTAATTTTTTTATTAAAATATTACACACAGAAAACAAATACTGAAACCTTTAACATCTTAAAATCAAAATGCCTGGAAACGAGCGCAATTTTTATCTTTAGTCAAAAGTGAACTGAAAGTAAATATTATTTTTTAGTGTGTACTATTTGATTTAGTAACATTTTTTAAAATTAAAGTTACAGTGAAAAATAACTAAAAATTAATAGAAATTTTTCTTAAATTAAATTAGTGAATGAATTCTTATTAATTCAAATTTACACTGAAAAAAAGTTTATTTAATTCAAATAATCGGTTACTTGACTATTTTATCAAATAAATATTTACTTGAATCAAATAATTTTTTTTTTGAATTAAATAAAATGTATTTGAACCAATAATTATTATTAATTAGAAATAATATATAACTGTTTATAACATATAATTATTTATATTATAATAATTATTATATCAATAATTATTATATTGGTCCAAATATAGTTTATTTAATTCAAATAAAAATTATTTGGTTCACGGAAAAAAATGAATTGCTTACAGATGCTAACGGATGTTTACTATCAGATCCATGAAAATTAGTAACCACAGCTAAATTTTTTGCTATAACAACAAAAAAGTTTGCTATGATAAACAATATCAGTCTTAATTTTTAAAAATCTACTGTCACATCAAACTTTTTTGACCCCACAGTAAATTTGTTCACTGTCCCTATATATTAGCTAACGTATAATTTTATGTGACAGCAAATAATTCGCTGCCAATGCAAATTTTTTCTATGCGTGTTCAAGTAAATATATAATTGAAATATTGCAGGTTTTTTGTGTTCTATTGTGCTTTAAAAAAAAAGTATTATAAACGACAAATTTTTAGATATCGATCTGATAGCAGTTTAAAGATTAAATAAAAAGAAGAAGAAAAAAATGTATGTGAATTTCTCAAACATTTCCGTTGAATAATTAAACATTATTGTCGAAATCAACATTTTCCAGCAGTAAACAGTCAATTGCACCCTGCAGAGGTATAGTATAATATATTCCCCAGCAATTGCGTGTATGACATGAGTAAATATTTGAGGAAAATTACTTGAGTAAACATTCAAGTTCGTATGAAGGACTAGAGAAATGAATTGATTGGTGTATGGTGCATTTGATATTGGATGAGTCAGTGATGGGTAACCATAAACAGCATTTTTCACATGAAATCGTTGATGAATATATATATATTCACTCTATTATAAATATATGCTTTACTATATATATAGTCAGTTATTGATGAACTTACTGACCCATACGTTTGCCAAAAACGAGGGTGAATTACAAAACCTTTGAAGGTATGAGGGGGTGGGGTATGTATTCGGAAAAACCGTGGTAATATAATTCTCCCCCAACCCATACTTTATATGGTTCCACATATCTTTTCTCTCTTTTTAACGTTCCCGTGCGATCTGAACGTGTCTTGAATGAAGACTTTTCTGGGGTAAAGTATATTTTGCCTGGAAACACTTGCATCGCGCGTATATATATATACTTTTTCTTTTATAATACACATATACTACATAGAGATCGAATTTCCAAGCTCGCGAGCGTCCAGTGACCCCGCGGGTAAAGGAGGAAAAAAAAATGTGTAGAGTGTGAGAGCACGTGTGTCTCGACACTTTACTACACTTGAGTGCGCTTTACTCTAGAAATACAGAAAAGTTCAAGAAATAACCTGGAGAGTCACTTCTCGGCGTGGAACAACTTCTCTTTATTATTATTATTATTTTTTTTCTATCTTGGCACAACGTTATATATATATATGTTTGATGCGCGCTAAAAATAGATAATTATATGTATGTGACGAGCCAGGCTACGGATGAGTTAAAAATATATAATTCTGATGCGTCGAAATAAATAATATTATTGATTTTGCATTTATAAATTTTATTATAGATTAATTTTAATTAATTCAATGGAAATAATTTTTATTTATATAATTGATGATAAGTAAAAAAATTTTCCTTTTATAATTATTATTGTTACAATTGTAGAAACATTTATTATTTATATTTACAATGTTTGTATTATTTAATATTTTATTTTAAATTTTATTGTCATTGGAAGTAATTAATTATTTATAGAATAGATTATTTAGAAAGTTTTTTTTCTATCAATTTATTTACATGAATATAAATTATTAGATAATGAATGATGAATCTAATGAATATCTTTTTTTTTTTTTGTTACAGGTGAGTCTGCTCAATTGTTTAGTAACAACAATCAGCGTAAATGTAAGTAAACTTCAAACTATTACAAGACTATCATGTTGAAAAAAAAATATATTTAAAATTGTTCATCTCAAAAAAAACAATTAAACGCTTTAATTAAATTCATAATGAATTTTAGTTACTTTTTTCCAAAATTTTGGAGAAGAAAAAAAATTTAATAAATTTCAATATTTCAAGAATTTAAAATAAAAATATTAAATATATTTTGTGTGATAAAATATTATAAAAATAAAGTTTTATTCATTGTTCTAAATTCAAAATTGATAAATATTCTATAACGACTGTTTTAAATATTTTTTTCTTTACTGTGATACGAAAAAATGATATTTATAATTATTTTATTTAACGATTAATAATAATAATTGTTTTTTACAAATAAGTAAATAAAAATTTTGTGAAATAAAAAATTGTAAAGTCTTGTAATATTGAAATATAATTTAGAAATTAAAGTAAATAATTAATATTAATAATGTCTTAAATTGTAACAATAATGAATGTAAAAAAAAAAGTAAAATTGGAATTTCATACTCCCTCTTTTGCTGAGTAGGTTAACGACAAGTTGCAGAGAGTAGGTCGATGTAAGAAATTTCCAAAGAAGAGCTTTAACACACACTGCGCGGGCAGTGCGAAAATTTACGACTCCAAGTCGAGAGTGAGATTCGCCCTAAAAGTCGTATATATTTATATCTACCGGCGGGATCAACTTCTTTACTCGTCTATATAGCAAAGATTCATTTCCTTTCCGATTTCACGTTAAATCGTTTGCAATCGCATGAAAGATCCAATGTGTATTGCATTTTTCAAAGAACTTGAAATTCGGCCACGTTTTTCAATTTCACCAAAAGACCACGTTTTTCCAACTCGCTTTTATATATATATATATATATATATATATGAATCTCTAATGAATGAAAATCTTTCAAATTGTGAATGTTCGTGCTGTGAATACACAGAAGATATTTATATATAATTTCACTTGCATTTTATTTTTCTCAATCTGAATAAATTAAAAATAATTTATTGTTAGTAAAATTTTGGATGACTTTTTATTTCAGTAATTAGTAAAAAATAACTAATTTTTTTTTATAGTATTGTCGAGAAAAATTTTACAGTAATTTTAAAATTGATTTTAGATGATTTTGAGGTGTAATTTTAATTTAATGATAATAATGAACAAAAAACATTAAATCAAAGTTTTTTTTCAACAATTTTATTTTATCAACTTTTTCCTAAAATTTGTTATTTAAAGAAAAATTTATATTTTAAAGTATTTAAACTAATATAAAATATTTATAATTGAAATTTTAATAACTTTCTCTCTTGTTTGAATTTATATTAATTCATTATTTATTTATCAAAGACAGTCCTTAAAAAAACACTTTCTTGCTAGAAAAAATTATTTATTATAGAAGAAATTAATTAATTATATTAATAATAATAATATTAATAATTAGTAGCTAAAATTTTGTGGAGAACTCAAAAATATCACTTGATTATAATGTTAATCAATATTATTAATCTACTCTCTAAATGTTAATCAGTAAAAAATAACTGATTCGAAAGCAAAAAGACAATCACTGTTTCAAATATTATTTATACTAACTATTTAGTTAAAAATAACTAATTATTAGTTAAATTAATTTTTAGGTTATGTAAAAATAACTGAAATTTTAGTGAAACTTCTGTTAATTAATATACAATGTCTGAAATTTAACTATTTTTTCAGATATTTTTTGATTGATAATTAGTTATATTATTATATTATATGGTATACTTTATACTTTTTCTTTTATAATACACATATTCAAATTACTAAACATTTTTACTAATTCAGATTTAGAGAGTAATTCTTTTCATAATTATTAATTTTTTATTTATTTCTTTTAATAATTAATTTATTTGAATAATTAATTTTAGTATACTAAAGTCTATAATTTTCAAATTCGGATAAATGTTCTTTTTTTATAAAAAGTTTTTCTAGGATTCATGTAGAAATTTTATAGAATTATTCATAGTTGAATTTTCTCTATTACATAATAAATAAGAAAATCAATTTTTTAAAAACAGAAACGTGTATAGTTTTTCCTGAAAAAAGTGATATATAATTCGATTTTAATTAAATTTACGATCATTATTTACAAAATGCATTATTTTTTTTCATATGGTGTATAGTATCGTACGAAATTTCTAATACATTCTCACTAGGGGGAAAAAAAATGCACAAGCGCTTAGTTTTTTTTCCACTCTTTAAACAAATAATAATAATGAAGGAAAATTATACCTATTTCCGACATTTTAATGGGGAGGAAATTGCGAGATAAGTAAACGTACCTACCTCAAGCAGCAATAAGTTAGTGTATGTGTGTGTATATATATATATATGAAGGGAATCTCTCTCATGAACGACATATATAGCAGCTGACAACGAATGAGGCTCGTATACCTTCCTTGTAAATCGAAAATGCAGAGGAGAGGTTCGGTGAAACAGTGGAAAGCTGGTATATATAAAGGGGGTGAGAAATGACAAGACCAAGAGGGTATATAACGGGGATATTAGTTCGGGGTCGAAAAATATGACAGGCTTGCGTGTGGAGGTAAAGAATGTTTTTGGGGCTCGATTCTGACCGAGTCTCTCTCTTTTCCTCCCTCATTTCAGGAATAAAACCCCATGATACCTTCGTCCAAGTGCAGTTGTTACGTGTATATATTGTATGAGAATGTGTACCGAGTAGAGAAGGAACGCGTGCGCACGGACCCCAAGAGGTGAATGCCCTTTTCTAGGCACCCCATACTCTCTCTCTCTCTCTCTCTCTCTCTCTCTCTCTCTCTCTCTCCTTGCGCACCCTCGTCCTTGCCTGGCGTCCCGCATATCCACCCTGCCTAGCTCAGCCTGCTGCTACTGCATCCTTCCTCTTTTTCCTATTTTCCCTCCTGGCGATACACTCATCCTCTTATTTAATGTCACTACGGAGAATATATATAGAAATCCTGTCAGATGCGGCCACGTGGAATATAGGTGCGAGTGCGTTAAGCTCCCGAGAATATCGTGACCCATACTGTCTTTTGCGAATGAACGCGTGCCCAAAAAGATCAGGTATGATAAAAGCCCCTTCAGAGAATAATATATGTGACAAAAAGAAAAAAAATTTTTTTATTTACCGCACACGAGTGTCATAAATTTGTCGATACATTTTTGTTTGGCATTTAGTCGATCGTGATTTTCTCCGCTACATTTATTTGACAATGAGAAATCATCGTATAAATTATAGATTAATAAATTAGTCAATTTTTCTTTATTTTGGGGAGGGGTAGGGGTGATTTAAAACGGAAACTTTTGGAAAATTCATGTTCAAAAGAATGCAACAAAACTTATTTGAAAAATAACTAATATATATTGGTCATTTTTTTCAATAATTTCAATCACTATATTATTATAATTTTCAATTGAAGGTAACAAATATTTGTTTACAATTTGAATTATTTTTTAAATTATTATTAATTAAAATGTTATATTGATTATTAGTTTTCTATACTATTTAATTAGTCCTTTTTTAAAACTAAAAATTAGTCAAAACGGCGATTCATTCATTTAGTAAACAAAACCGGTGCCTGTTGAATTAATCAAAAAATTAGTAATTTAGATTTAGAGCGAATGAACAATTTCAATTAACTTGAATTAGTGACTAACTTTTTGCTAAATTTCACTAATGAATTGATGAATGTAATTTTTTTTTTCTACCAATTCATAAATTTTAACTTTAAATAAATTTTAACTATAAGTAAATTCGCGTAATTTTAATAAGTAATTATAAATTTTTTATTAAGAGTGTTTAACGATCTCTGAAATTTTTTGGCAAAGAGAGACCTTTAATTATCACCCTATAAAAACGGCACTGAACGTGAAAATGATAAAAATTGAATTTAAAATACTTTTTTCTCTAAACACGAACACTTTTTACAAAATCGGCCAATGTACCAAGAATCCTTATCTTATAAATTTCCAAAATCCGAATGATTATGCGAATTTATACAAAACACGATTGAAAAAGGAAAAGTAGGAAAGTAATATAATGACAGCTCCGATTTCGTGCTCCCTACATGCTTCTGCCACCTGACGACGACTAAACGTAATGAACCTCCTACCGACTGTCATTATATTATTTTCCTATTTCGAATTTTGCAATCGCGTTTTTAAATAAATTCGCACAATCTTTTGGATTATAAAAATTTATAAAATAATGATCTTTGGTACGTTGGCCGATTTTATAAAAAGTGTCCATGTTTTGAGAGAAAAATATTTTAAAATCAATGTTTATCATTTTCACGTTCAGTGTTATTTTTATAGGACGATAATTAAATGTCTCTCTTTGCCAAAGAATTGTCAAAAACACACATAGAAAAAAGAAGCAAGTCACCAATTATTCAAATTAATTTATTTTAACAAATTCCAATATTCAGAGTGTGAATTTTTGATGTAATTGAACTTCGTTACACACCGAAATTGACAAAAGTTAATTTTCAGCACAGTAATAAACGTCAGTCGATGTCAGTACATATAATGCAGTTGTGAAAAGAAATTCCGAACAGTTTTCAAATCAAAGCCCTTAATGAAGAATTTGAAATCGATTTCAAACAGGAAATTTGGGTAGACGAGACTCTCTCTCACTCCCTCTCTCTGGGTGATAGGGATGAGATAGGTCGTTGCGGGTCAAATTATCTACCGATCATTATCGGACCATTTTGTATGTGGATAGCTATACTGCTAGTTCATTTAGGATAGCGCTGTATATATATGTATACAAGTTCCAAGGTTCCGTTTACACGGCATTAAGTGAGAAAAGCGGAACTTCGCTTTACCTTCAGGAAATCGCGCGAGGCCACTCGTCAACGTCGTCGACGATCTCGGGACGATTAATGGATCCCGGGAAAAGCATCTGCGCTGATGTTGGTATATACCCGGGTATAGGTGGAAATAAATTGTTCCTTACTTGAGTTTCGCTACG